ACCAGCAGTGCTTCTCATCCTGGCATTAAGCTGGCAGTATAGGAGTTTATAATCTTCCCCATCAGCAAACTTCAGGGAAGCCATGCTCATTAGAGCCAAGGCTTAGCACACGAGCAGTGTCATCAAGGAGAAATGTGAGAAAGCTGCTATCAATGTGGGGGATTGTGGTAGGCTGCATAATGTCTCCTAAAGATGTCCATGTCCTAATCCCTGGAACTTGTGAATATACTACTTTACATGGCAGAAGGGATTTGCAGATATTTAAGGTTGTGAACCTTAAAATGGGGACATTATCCTGTATTATCCAGACGGGTCCAGTGTGATCTTATGAGTCGTTAAAAGCAGAGAATAGCGCCTTTCATATCTGTGATCAAAGAGAGAGGTCAAAAGTTGTGATATTCCTGGCTTTGAGAATGGAAGAGGGGGCCATGAGCCAAGGAGAGTGATGACCTTGCAGGTGAGTATGGGCCTTGGCCGACAATGAGCAAGGAAATGGATGTCAGTCACATATCACAAGGAACTGAATTCTATGAGCATCCCAAGTGAGTAAGAAAACAAATCCTCCCCTAGAGCTAAGAAAGGAATGCAGCTCTGTGGATACCTTGGTTTTGGCCTGGTGCTGCCTATGTCAGACTTTTGACATACAGTGCTGTAAGACAGCAAGTACATGTTGACTAAGCTGCTAATTTGGTGGTGATTTGTTATGGCAGCAGTAGAAAGCTAATATAGGGTTGGACGGAGGTTTGCTCCTAACAACCTAGAGAATAAAGAAGGCTAGGGCTGCTGTGGAATGCACTTGGGAAAGCTGGCTACATTGATAATACTGTAACTAGCATGGGCATAGTTGCTGTTGAATTCTTTCAGATCTGGGAAGTACAACTTAGACTTCAGATCTCCTAATGACCCAGGAGGCGCATAAACCTGAGCAGCTGGTAGCCCTGTACAAGTCTTTGTTTTCCCTGGTGGACTTGTACAGGGAACTCAATGTTTTCCCTGATGTCTCTGATGTCTCTTAAAGATTGTTTGACCGTGATGATTGGGAAGTTTGGAAGAAGTTCACTGCTAATGCATGTCTCCAGGAAGTAGGGAATGACACTTGAGGCATGTTGCTAAGGCTGTCGATGAGAATTCGTGTAACTTTCTCCAGCTTACAGTGGACTAGGTTGACATGCAAGCTGATTCAGTCCAATTGGTAGGGCACCATGGTTTATCATTACTCATGGTTTCTCATTTCTCATTACTGACTTAAAATACTTTTATTGCCAACCTGGTGAGACACTGCCCTGGGTAGATAACACAGGAGCACCTTGCTGATCAGAGCCCTTGGCCAGCTACAAAGAGCTCAGTTTTCTAGAAAGAAGTCCTAGCCAATTAGACCTTGGGGAGGAAAGCCCCTGAAACTTAACAAGCACAAGCAATTGAGTAGACCTGTCCTCCTGAACTAAACAGGCAGCTCAAGGCATCAGACCAAAACTCATAGGGGCTCTGATAGTTAACTCATTTCTCCATCTGGACGTTCTCATTGTCTTATTAAATTGCTGTGGCAGAAGCCAAACTTGATCAACTGGAACCCCATTGGAGGTCCTAACCTTGTAATCACATGATTGGCTAAAAAATCATCACCTTTTCTTGGCTTTCTCCCCACATTAGTGTGTGTAGAAGAATAGAGTTTCTGAGGTGTCAATAGGCAAGATGTCCAGTGAGGGTTTTCTGGTTGCAAAATACAGTATCTGCTAATGCCTGCCTCTTCTCTCCCATCAAACAGAACAAAACATATACGTATATGCTTCCAGGCTTCATCCTCAGAGATTCAGATTTAATAGGTCTGAGGCAGTACCTGGAAGACTACATTAAAAAAAAATATCAGGGCCAGGTATGGTGATTCATGCCTATGTTCCAACATGTTGTGAGGCTGAGGTGAGAGGATCACTTGAGGCCAGGGCATCAGCCTGGGCAACATAGTGAGACTCCATCTCCACAAAAACTTTAAAAATGTGTTGAGTGTGGTGGTGTGTGCCTGTAGACCCAGCTACTGGGAAGGCTGGGCTGGGGGGAGCGCGTGAACCCAGGAGTTCAAGGTTGCAGTGCGCTATGATCATGCCACTGCACTCTAGCCAGGGCCACAGAGTGAGACCTATCTCTTAAGGAAGAAGAAAAAAGTGTGGTGATTATGATATAGCCAATAGAGTAGCCAGCATTTGGGACCTCTGGCCTACATAAGTCATTTGTAGTCTATTATGAAAAATGAAGCTCAGATTGCGGTAGGTGATTCAATCTTGGTCAAATTGCTGCTAGGCTTGTGGAAGGATAGATAAATAAATAAATAAATAAATAAAACTTGGTACCTGCCTTCTAGAGGTTCATAATCTAGTCAGAGAGACATTAGTAGGCATAGGAGTGGAGTAATCTAGGAAAGAATTATAGGCAAGGTTGGGTGTGAACAGGTGCCTTATAGGATAGAGAGGACTTCTGGTGTAGATACAGGATGAGAAAAATGCTATAGATGTGAGTGAGTCCTTAGGATTTTTTATTAAAAAATGTTCAAAGATACTTTAATTGCAACTGTCATCTAGATCAACCTAGATTTAATAGTTGTTAAAAAAGAATAATAATTGTTAAAAATTTTGCCCCATTTGCTTTATCTTTCTTTGTGTATCCCCCCTTTTCTTTTGAAAGCTTTTGAAAGTAAGTTGCTAAGATGGCACTCACCTGAATATGTCAGCATGCATCTTCTAGAAATAAGGACTTTTGCTGATATAAAGTGCCAACAGTTATATACTTCTCTGTGTTTCAAGTTCTATAGAATTTTATCACTTGTGTCAGTTTGTGTATCTAGTACCACAATCAAGATATTGAACAGTTCCCGAATCACAAGAATTCCTCATGTTTCCCTTTTATTTATTTTATTTTTGAGACAGAGTTTCACTGTGTCACCCAGGCTGTAGTCCAGTGGCACCATCTCGGCTTACTGCAAGCTCCACCTTCCAGATTCAAGCCATTCTCGTGCCTCAGCCTCCAGAGTAGCTGGGATTACAGGCATGCACCACCATGCCTGGCAAATTTTTGTATTTTTAGTAGAGATGAAGTTTCGTCATGTTGGCCAGGCTGGTCTCCAACTCCTGGGCTCAAGTGAGCTGCCCGTCTAAGCCTCCCAAAGTTCTGGGATTACATTGAGAGCCACTGCACCTGGCCAGAGTTTCCCTTTTATAACCACATCCATTTCCTCCTTGTACTCTTCTTGCACCCCAACTCTAAACCCTGGCAACTATTAAACTGTCTTTATTTCTAAAACTTTGTCATTTCAATAATGTTATAAAATGAATCATACAGTATGTAATTTTATGGGATTGGCTTTTTTTTTCTGTTCAGCATAATTCCCTGGAGAGTCATCTCAGTTGTTATGTGTATCAATAGTTCATTTCCTTTTACTGTTTTGTTTGGTTTAAATCATTGACCTATTGAAGGATCTGGGCTCATTCCAGTTTGTGAACTGGAATTCACTGCTGTGAACATTCATGCACAATTTTTGTGTGAACATTCACTTTTCATTTCTCTGAGATGAATGCTCAGGAGTGAAATAGATGGGTTATATGTAGTTACATATTTAGTTTTTAAACTGCCAAGCTGTTTTCCAGCGTTGGCAGTACCATTCTAATTTACCATGACATTTTTTTTGAAGAAGTCCAAGCCAGTTTTGCTTTAGAGTGTCCCACCTACATTTTTGAATTGTCTTTTTCCTAGTGACATCACTTAATTTGTTCCTCAATCTCCTGCATTTCCTATAGACTGGAGGTTAGGTCAAAAGGTTTGGTTACATTTAGGTTAAAATTTTTAAAAATAAGAAGATAACTTCATCTGTGATGCTGTATACCTTATGTTGCATAACATGAGCCCTAAGAACAGAGTGAGCTGCTGGACAGCAAGTTTCATTGGGTGCAATAATTGATACACCACATAGAATAAATCTGAAATAATGACAAATGTATTAAAGTCCTTGGGATATTGGGCCATGTACCCTATGGAGCACAAGGTGAGGTGCAGGTTCCTGCCCCCAAAGAACTCTGTCTTTTGAGATTAGCAACTAATAGTGTGAGCCCACTAATAGGATGTGAAAGTTGTCAAAATCAAGTTGTAGTTATTGCATTAAAAACTCTAACAGATAGAGCTGGGAAGGCCATGAAAGGAGGATTTTCATGCACAGATGCCTGGTAACAAGGCTTATCATAAAAGACTGTACAAAACCACACCTTGCACAAAGGCCATCACAACTTTACATACAAAAAATACTTCTGGGAGGACATTTGCCCAACAACTGCCTGTCCAATGTCTGACTGTCAACATCCTTGTTATTGATTCTCTCAAAACAATCATTTTTGCTTTAACAACCATTGTCTTCCTTTAGCTCCCTGTATATGCACATAGTTTACTGTGGCACTTGTATTCTCATTGCAATGCCTACTCCGGAATAAACATCATTTTCTTTCAGAGAGTCTCCCTCTCATTATTTAGGCTGACAGGGATATGCCAAGAAGTAGCTTGGATATAGCAGTTAACTCTGCCTTTTGGGTATGTGTACAGGGTTATAAGAATTAACTAAAAGTTGACCTCTGAGCTGGTCCTTGAATAAAAGAGGAATAGATTCCAAAAATAATAATAAATAATTATCCTAAGCTAGGAGAGTACATTTGGTAGACCTTTGGTTTCCATATAAACAAATTAAAATTTTTGTGTACAATAAAGAAGTTCTGGAATTTTCTGGTTTTGTTTTGTTTGTATTTATATATTTAATTTAACTTTTAGGTTCAAGGGTACATGTGCAGGTTTGTTATATAGGTAAATTTTGTGTCATGGGACTGTACAGATTATTTCATCACCCAGCTAATAAGCCTAGTACCCAAAAGGTAGTTTTTGATCCTCTTCCTTCCTCCCACCCCTACCTCTCCGTCAGATAGGGGCCCTCTTTGTGTCCATGTGTTCTTGTTTAGCTTGCACTTATATGTGAGAACATACAGTATTTCGTTTTCTAGTCCTGTGTTAGACTGCTTAGGATAATGGCCTTTAGCTCCATCCGCTGCTGCAAAGGACTAATATGGGGGCCTTTAAAGGGATGGGTGACAGCAGGTTGGCAGACCCATGAGTAAATCATTGCAACTGTCTCGAGTGTGATGTCCCAAACTAGGTGCCAGAAAGGGAAAAGGTAAGATTCAGATATTTAGGGTCAGGATTTTAAAATGTGTCCGAATTTTTAAGATTTTGTGGATATGACAATGCTGCATCAAATGACTTTGGAACCTATTGGAAATTTAAGAGGAAAGATGAATATTAACGTGTTATGTGTCTGTGGAACATTTGGGTAAAGATGTCGAAGCAGACTTGTATATTTAACATCAGGAGCTCAGGTGATAGTGTAGAGGAAGTAATGACTGATACTGTAAATCTTCTAGAACGAAATGGTGTACGGAGAAAAGGATTCACGAGGGGTTAAAGGGCGGACAAGACAGTGAATAAAGTGGTTGGGCCCAGTGGTGAGGGGCCTTGCTCTGCACCAGCCGGCTCTGACTTCCTTCTAAAGGAGACTGAAATGGCCTGGCAAGTGCTTGCAGCAGACACTCCAGGCTCGCTAAGCATGCATGCCTCCAAAGCTGGCCTCCCGCCACTCCCAGCAGAGGCCCCAACTGAATGGGTCACTCAAGGCGGCACGCACAGGCTGGAAAAAGGCATGAAAGGCCGCGGGAGGATCACGCCTGCGCGGTAGTGGGCCGGCGGTTGGGCGCAGACGGGCACCGGAAGATGGAGAGATGGAGCCACCCCTGGAGACAAATAGGCCTTTCTACACGTTGGATAACCGCGACGGGCGAGTCCAAACCCTGTCCCCCACCCCTCTATTGCAGAGGAATCCCTACAGCAAGTCGGATATGATGAACATCAGAGGGTCGCAGATTTCTTCGGTTCGTAATATCTCGGACCAGGGCAGGATGGCTCTGCCTAAAGACAAGAACCAGGAGAGCACCGGGAACCGGCTGCTGAATGTGAGTTGGGGCCTGGCGGGGACCTGGAGGACTGGAGCCAGCAGGGCACCTGGAGGGTGGCCATACGATTAAAGGGTTTAATGTGTAGCAACTGCATCTTTATTCAATTAGCATACGTTGAACCCGTTAATCTTTTTTTTTTTTTTTTTGAGATAGAGTCTGTCTCTCGCCCAGGCTGGAGTGCAGTCGCGTGATCTCGGCTCACCACAACCTTTGCCTCCCGGGTTCAAACGATTCTCCTGCCTCAGCCTCATGAGCAGCTGGCATTATAGGCGCCACCCACCATGCCAGGCTAATTTTTGTATTTTTAGTAAAGACGGGGTTTCACCATGTTGGTCAGGCTGGTCTTGAACTCCTGACCTCAGGTGATCCGCCTGCCTCGGCTTCCCAGAGTGCTGGAATCACAGGTATGAACCACCACGCGTGGCTTCCTTTAATCCTTTCGACACCCTCTACATTATAGGGTGGTAATACCCAAGGCAGAGTTGCCCTGTGGGACCTTGGGCAATTATTTGTTAGAGTCTTGTTTTATTCACTGTTCAATGAAGACGATTACTACCTACCTTACTTAAAGGAGAACGAAAGAAATAATGACATAAAGTCCTTAGCACAGAACAAAGAAAAAAGTACAGACTCAATAAAAGTTAGCTTCTGTCACCATCATCATCACTGGGATTTCATTTATTTGGTTACAGGGCAAAACTTCAGAAACTTTAGTTACCCTTGTTTTCATTCGTGAGGTTATTACAGACTGAATCTGCAGAAGCAAATCTGCATCCTGTCTACAAAGTGAATTATTGGCCTCCCGAAACTCTTGAGTTTACCACTATACTTAGCATGAAGACCTAAATGGCAAAGGGGAATCCAATTGAAACTTACCTTTTCAAAGTTGTTAGAGGATTTTAGAACATTTTCAAAAATCCTTTAGGGAATACTACACTTCATCTGTGATAAGTGTCACAAATACTTTCTTATAATTCAACAGTTGTTTGTTGACTATTTATAGTGCTTTTTGCTATTCAGTCCTTATTTTCATTAATTTTTAAAATGATTTTTCTGTTCTCTATTTTGTTTATTTCTGCTCCAATTTTTATTATTTTTTTTCTTCTGCTAACTTTGGGCTTACTTTGTTTTTGTTATCCAGTTATTGGAAGTGTAAAGCTAGGTTGTTTATTTGAGATCATTTTTTTTTTTGGTGTAGACATTTGTTGTTATAAACTTGGATCTTATAACTGTTTTGCAGCATCCCATAAGTTTGGGTATATTGTATTTCTATTTTTGTTGGTCTCAAAATTTTTTTTTATTTCTATTTGATCTTTTCTTTGAGCCATTAGTTGTTCAGAAGTCTGTTGTTAATTTCCATGTATTTGTGAATTTTCCAAATTTTCTGTTACTGATTTCTAGTTTCATACCATCATGTTGATTTTGTATCCTGTAACTTAAGTGAATTTATTTATCAGATGTAAGAGTTTTTTTTATCGGAATCTATAGGTTTTTCCAGCTAAAAGGTCATATCATTAGCAAACAGGGACAATTTGACTTTTCCTTTTCCAGTTTGGATGCCTTTTGTTTTTTTTCTCTTGCCTAATTACTCTGGCTAGGACTTTCAATACAGTAGTGGAAATGGGCATCCTTCTCTTATTCTAGTTCTTAGAGGAAAGGTTTTTAGCTTTTCCCCATTCAGTATGATGTTAGCCATGCATTTGTTATATATGGGCTTTATTATGTTGAAGTACATTCCTTCTATGCTAATTTGTTGAATTTTTTTTTTTTAATCATGAAGGGATGTTGAATTTTATCAAATGCTTTTTGTTGAAAAGCATTTGAAATGATTGAAATGATCATTTGGTTTTTGCCCTTAATTCTGTTGATATGATGTTTGATGTTTACTGATTTGCATGTGTTGAACCATCCTTGCATTCCCTGGGATAAATCCAATTTGATCATGGTATGTTATTATCTTTTTGATGTGCTGTTGATTCAGTTTGCTAGTATTTTGTTGAATATTTTTGCATCTATGTTCATTAGGGATATTGACTTGTAGATTTCTTTTTTGTTGTTGTATCCTGGTCTGGTTTTTGCATTGGGGTAATACTAGCCTCAAAGAATGAGTACATGTAACCTGTACCATGAATGGCAATGTCTGGCCAATGAAATCAGTTAACTTGCTGGGTTGGAGAAAGGGTGGAGACAAAATTTTCCCTTTTCCTTGATCATTTTTCTTCTAATGAAACTGTAATTGTTTTGTTTTTACTTGTCTGTCTTAAACACTAGACTGAATCTCTTGAGGGCAAGAACACTTCAAACTGGAATAAGTATTTTGTGAGGCATATATTAATAGTTGTGCCAGCACACTGGTAAATGTCAAATAATTAATACAAGGAGAGTGAGGATTCAATTAGGGGTAGGAAGTAAGAGTATTCTAGGAAAAGGTAAATATGTGGGATTTTAAAGAGGAGAGTGGGTAAGAAAAATCACTGGGGAAGAAGTGCAGACAATGTGAGTGAATGTACAGCTTTTACAGACTTAAGAAGAAGTGTTACAAGGGACTTCCATTCAAGGTGGGGCCAAAGGTAGCAGAGATGAAAGGCACAATGGAATTAACTGAAATAAAAGTTATCTGCAGGTTCAGGAGAAATTTGAGGTGGCATCAGAAGCCTTTATGAGATTAATGTTTACAGCCTTTGCTCAGGATTCTGATAGAAATTTGGCAGAGTTGTTTTGCTGATGATGCTGCCGTTGAAGAGAGCTCTGCTAATATGAGAATGAAGAAGTAAAAAGTAGTAAAATGAGGGGGAAGCAGTATTTTAGCCAGGTTGTTAAAGGATGAATTGAACGTTAGTATTCTAAAGGAATTTTTTAACTTTCCAAATTATTTTGTATTTATATTAAAATGCACATTCGAAATAGACTTCTAAAATAAAGGTTATCAAAACATTACAAAGCATGAGATTACACATCAAATACATATATAAGTTTGATATTTTTATGACAATACAGTAATTGTCATCCAGTTACCTTAAACTATGAAATCATATACATAAAACACATTAAACCAGTCAAATGCAACAATAAAATTATCCAAGACCTATAAAACAAATTTTCTCAATATGACTAAAGTATTTGTTATATCATTTATTTTTATAGTTTTTGGTTTATTTTATATTTAATTAAAAAATAATTGTTTATATTTTGGGGGTACAATGTGATGTTATGATAGATATATACCTTGTGGAATGATTAAATCAAGCTAATTGACATAACCATCACCACACATACTTACATTTCTTTGTGGTGAGAACATTCAAAGTCTGTTAACATTAGCATCATGCTGTGCAGTAGATCACTAAAACTTATTCCTCCCCTCTAACAGAAATTTTGTACCCTTTGAGCAACATTTCTTTTTCCTGCTCCTCAGCCTCTGGTAACTACCATTGTGTTCTCTACTTCTATGAGTTCTACATTTTTAGATTACACCTACAAGGGAGACCATGCAGCTTTTCTCTTTCTGTACCTGGCATTTTTTCACTTAGCGTAATGTCCTCCAGGCTCATCCATGTTGTTGCAAATGACAGAATTTTCTTCTTTTTTAAAAGGCTGAATAGTATTCTGTTGTGTATATACACCACATTTTCTTTATATGCTCTTTCACTGATGAGTACTTAGCTTGCTTCCATATCTTGGCTGTTGAGAATACTGCTGCAATGACATGGGAATGGAGATATCTCTTCAGCATATCATATATGAAATCTCACAGCTAACATCACACTCAATGGTGAAAAGCTGAAAGCTTTTTCTGTAAGTTCAGAAACATTGCGAGGATACCCATTCTCACCACTTCTATTTAACATTGTACTAGAAGTCCTAGCCAGAGCAATTGGGCAAGGAAAATAAATATAAAGCATCCAGATAGGAGAAGAAGAAGCGAAATTGCCTCTATTTACTGACAACATGGTCTTATATATATCTTATATTTGCTGATGACATGATATATACTTTATAAACTTTGAATAGTTCACCAAAAACTGTTAAAACTGATAAATTCAGTAAAGTTGCAGGATACAAAATCAACCTACAAAAATCAGGAGTGTTGTTATATACTTTGAAACAAAAATTTCAACATAACTAAGAGTTTGTTGTACACTTTAAAAGTTGAACAATGCAATTCTTGAAAAATACATAACAACAAAGATTTCTCAGAAGTTAATACTTATAAATAAGACCATGTTTATTGAGCTTCTGCAAAGGTTGGGGATCAATTTAATTCTCCTTTTCAGGTTAAATTTTTAATGGCCAGTTTCCCCTCCTCCTCTCCCACTCTCTTCCATTTATCTCCCCTCCCCCAACTTTCGCTTTACTTTTTAAATACTTCTTAAATTTATATTTAATGTTTTATAGTTTTCAAAAGTGTCATATTTTTAAAAGGCTGACTATCATATGTAGTGATATACACAAAAAAAGGAAAGTTAAGTATGAACCCTCAAATATTAGTGATGTTACTCTGGAGGAAATCACACAGCTAAAAACCAAAAGCCATCTGTTTATTGCCCCATTCTAGTGTATCTACTATTTTAAGAAACACAATTCCAATTCTTTTTGTGATCACTGAAGGAATATTAGGATTACTTGCAAGCAGGATTGCTGCTATCTGTGGGATACAGTACCTAGTTCACATTAGGTTAAGACCATCATGTTGCAGTGATGATCATTTTTAGTTAGGAAGGAGATCTTGAGCCACTTTTTTGAGAGGCTCCTCTGGGTAGCAGATTTCAAACTCACTGATATTAAAGTGGTGGCTGTATTTGGTATTACACCGAGAGTCCTCAACTAACAATTGTTCTATTTATGATTATTTGACTTTGTGGTAGTGTGAAAGCGATATGTATTCAGTGGAAACAGTACTTCAAAGTTTGAATTTTGATCTTTTCCCTGGGTTGGCGATATGCAGCATGAATTAGCATGCTGGGCAGCAGCAGTGAGTCATTTTTTTTTTTTTTAAC